AGTTGGGCAAGAACTTCTTAGCTTAGCTTACTTACTTTCTAGGCAAAAACTGCAAATCAAAGTCAAAGTCAAAGTCAGAGTGGCTTACCCGAACAAAGCAGAATGGCAATGCCTGCGGCTCGTCGGCATCGTTGCCGTCGTCGTAGTCGTTTTCCATGCTGGCGTTTTGCTGTTGCAGCAGCGTTTTGGTTTCATCTGCGGTGGCGCCACCAGCTGTGGCAGCATTGCTGCTATCGCCAGCTGCATCCATGGCGAGAATCACTGAGCGAGAGCAAGTTGCGTTTGTTTTTGATTTTGTTTTTTATTATTATCTCTCGTTTCTTTTCCCGCTCTTTCCCTCTCTCTTTCTCTCTCTCGGTCTCTCTTTCTCACATATAATTAGCTGTTGTGATTGGCAAGCGGCTAGCTGCTGTTTTAATTGCAATTGATATGAGCATTAGCATAAGCTTGAAACATTAAGTATACGCAGCATAAGCCAAGTCGAGATATTTCTATAACAAACAAAATGCCTCAGTCTCTCCATACTCTTTTGCACGCCTCTCTCTCTCAATCGCGCTCTCTCTCTCTCGCTCTCTTGTTATTGGCAAAAATTTCACTTTTGTCCGCGGGGTAGCTTTTTTTTTCAGTTTTCAGTTTCAGTTGTTGTTTTCATTGAATTGCCATTAAGCGTCATTATGTTGCGGCTTCGAAGGAGAGGCATACACACACACACACATACACACACACAACTCTAAACTGTGCTCTATATGTGCAGCATAAATGCACAGCTTCATTTAATTGCCAACATAAAAGTTTAGCTTTGCATTGCATATGCTCGACTGGCAGTTACCCTATATGATAGCTGCACTTGACTTGCGTTACATTCGCACTCGATATGTCAATATGCCCATATTTGAATATAAATTTAATGAGTATCAAAATGCAATTGGCTGTTGCTACTGTTGTTGTTGTTGTTGTTGCTGTTGTTGTTACTGATTGAACAATATAAGAAAAATATCGTGTCGTGTTTTTCGCTCGTTTCTGTTTCTTGAAATGGGAAAGTTTATCTCAGAGTCGGCACTTCTCGAATTCGTTCCGCTTTTCTGATTTATATGATGCATCCATATATATACTATATAGATATATGTATATAAATATATAGTTAAACAATTAACTCTCGTTTCTGAAATGCCTACGAAATATCATCTGCTTCAGTGCTAGCTCTATATATAGATAAGTAGATACACAAATATATATATTACTGTTATATTTAGTTAGCATTCAAGTTGCGTAATTAAAATATGAATATAGTTAATGATATCTGAGCAAATCTTATCGCTGATAGCAATCTATTATAAATGTGCACTCATGAATCATACAAATCGTAAGCAAAGCAAATCCAAATTGAATACTTTCCGGAAATTATAATCTAGCGTCTCGGCAATGCCCTCAGTGAATCATTATCTTATAATCTTGCAGAAGACATTCGGCTGTAGAAGATACTTGGGGTTGTATGTGTCTTAATATAACTGCTCAGACAGTAAATCTTCGGCTATATAAGCTAAACTGTCGGACTATCCTAATGGAATCATCTATTCGGAACCTAGCAAATTTTTATAGCTGTATCGGTTCCTATACGAGTATCTAAATCTATGTATACCCTTGAAGGTAAAAAGATTTATA